TCTTGTCGGTTGATGATAGTAAATAATATTTCGCACTTTTGAGCAGAATCTTAATGTAATTGGTCAATATTTCTAATTTTAAGAGATTTTTGACTATTTTATGACTCATATCACCTTGACCAGAAGTGGGATAATGCCTTTAAAATCTACAATTAATGGAATCTTAAGATTTCTTCTCTGTTGATGATAGTAAATGACATTTCAAACCTATTAACAAAGGTCTAAATGTAATGGGTCAGTATTTCTAATTTTAAGAGATTTTCTACTATATTATGACTCAAATCACCTTGACCAGAAGTGGGATAATGCCTTTAAAATCTATATTTAATGGAATCTTAAGATTTCTTGTCGGTTGATGATAGTAAATAATATTTCGCACTTATGAGCAGAATCTTAATGTAATGGGTCAATACTGCTATTTATAAGAGACCTTTTACTATATTATCACTCATGTCCCTTTGACCAGAAATGGGATAGCCCTTTCACATGTACAAATAATGGAATACTTGTAGCTGATTTTTATTAATTATCGATTAGAATTTAACCCTTGTATTACTGTAATCAAACCGTGCAGAAGCGGCATAACACCTTTAAAATTTATTAACTGTTGAATTTTTATAATTAATTTTAGCTTTTGAAAGTGATTAGGACCACAAACTTAGCAAATATTGAGGGAGGTCATGATTGGTACTTTTATAGGGAATATTATACCAGTAAGTGTGTTACACAAGGAGTGTCAGAATTCAGAAATTCTTGTATTTACCCAGTGAGGGTGAAGGTAATACATGGATTCTTACATGATTTTTGTAAAACAGAATATGTACTGTGTTTATCCACGTTTATCCACGTAATGCCAATCGCCAAGCACGGGTACTATCTTATTCCGTGTATTTTACCTTCAGCTGTCAGGGGTGTGATTGGTTAGCCTATTGGTCAAAGCGTTCGCTCGTCACGTCGAAGGCCCGGGTTCGATTCCCATCATGTGTTCAATGAGTAAACCCTATTTCTTGTGTCCCGTGCCATGATACTCCAGGAATGCTGCTAAAAGCAGTGTAAATACATATTCACCCACTTACTCACTCCTTCTGCAGACGTCTATCCACTAGACCAGTCAGGCAGTTGATTTCGTGTAGAAGGGGTCCCCAGCAACACATGCTTAATTTTAATTGTCTTACTAGGTGACTTCATGGATCGGAGGTTCAACGTCCTCCGACGTGCTGGATGTTTGCTTATAATATCAATCACTATTTTGCTCTCTGCCCATGTGGACCAACATTTTACTGCAAGAACCAGTAACAGCAAAGCTGACCATGCAGGTAATATTCCCATGATCGGATGGAGAGTCCGGCTTAGAATCGTATAATGAGAGGCGACTAACGAGCCTCGGGTAGTCAGGTTCGTTATTTGGTTGATTGCGAGACATCGTACATGTCGGCGTGGGACGTTGTTCATACTTAAACCAATCGTTTATTTACATGTATTTATATCGGGGTGCATGACACACAATTAACGAAGTCACTATACAAGCATGCCCACCCGGTCCATCGATTGTGGTGCCCGTGAAGACCCGGGGTAGAATAGGTCTTTTCAGCAATCCATGCTTGCCCTAAAAGGCGACTATGCTTCTCGTAAAAGGCAACTAACGGGATCGGGTGGTCTGGCTCACTGACTTGGTTGATGCATGTCATCGTATCCCAAATGCATGGATCGATGCTCATGATGTCTATCACTGGATTGTCCGTGTTGTCTGGTCCAGACTCGATTATTTACAGACCGCCATCATATAGCTGGAATATTGCTCAGTGCGGCGTTAAACAACCAACCATCGATTGTCGCCTAACATGACAAGCGAAGCGGTGGGTATATTTTAAGCAATGCCCAACATAGACATACACAATGCACTGTCCATGGATCATCGTGATTTTAGGCTAGATATATAAATATATTATTTCGACTTGCTTCAATATATCTTTCCTTTATTTCAAATTGAAGCTGCCAGGTTCCTAAAACACTATGGAGTAACTTTATACTCCTTTCTGTTAGGTCTGGTTTACCGGTGCATGCATGCATGAGGAGTCATATCCGTCTTACCGCTTATATCTGTTAGTTATACATTTATTATAAATTTGCACACCAAACTTCTGAGCTTGCATTACCTGCATCATGTATATGTGATAGGGTTAAGTTAAGGAGGTATTTGAGGTTACCACTAACTTGTATATGTGGGTAGAATGCCATTCTGAAACAATCGTCAATATCCAGCTTGGATACTTCTTAGCATGTTTCAAAGCTTACATTGGTCAGCATCTACAGCATTCTATGTATGTATAATATAATACATCCGATACAAACCCTCTATCGTTATCTATCGTTCTGAGTGATGTATAGTTTATATCCGATATACATACTCCCCACGCGTCTTTCATTTATAATGATGTATATAACATGTCTGATATACAGCACCCCGCGTTTCATTCTGAGTAATGTATATTTTATGTCCGATGTGCCTGTGTACTTCCCTGTAACTTTGTAAAGAAGAATTATAAAACACTTTCATCTTGTGTAATTTTCGCCTCAATCTTCTGGCAAACCATATCCCATCGAACTAATTAAAAGAAGTGGAAAGAGCTTGTCTAAATGCAGAGGCAAGTGAAATAATTGTTTTGAAATTATATAAATATGGTTTCTCACATCTACTCATGTGTGAATTACAAGGATTCCCTTCAGCACAGTTACATTAAATAAATTAATGAGGATACAAGTTTTGCATTTCTATTCACATCGTGGGATTGGAGGAGACCGCACGTTAAATTGGGCCACAAACAACAGAATACGGAAAATTGTTTACAGTTACAAACAAAACAAAATCTAAATGTTCAATTATTGATCTAATTATAACATAATTTCTTAAAAGAAATATCGCACAGACACTGTGACATTTGTGCATAAATGTGAATTTCCGCACAAAAAGGCGTGTGAATATTTGTCAAGTACAAAATTAATAAAATAATAATAATAACTAAAGATGTTTCCAATTTATAGTGAAGAATTTAATGTGCGTTATTTATTTGGAATGGGACATGGAAATATACAAAAGATCATATTCAGTACGGGTCGTCCCCCCCCCCCCCCCCCCCAAAAAAAAAAAAAAAACCAAAAAAACTAAATCATTTTCCGCATATATATCGCCATGTGTTTTAGAGCTAACCGAAAGCATTACCGCAGTAAGTGGGGTTTTGCGAAATTGTGGACTGTTTATCCCAGTTCTGGTCGCTTCGACAGGACCAGAACCAGCTGGCAAAGCTCAGTTGGGACAATCATAGGTCGTCATTTGCAACAACAACCCCTAGGCTGTGTTCTATCATCTTGTATATTCAGTGGTTCGCCGCTGCCCCGCCTGTAATTTGGGTCTTACCCGATATTGTCACCTGGCTTTAGTCAATGACATTTTATGATACAACATTGATCAGAGTGAGTGAGTGAGTTGGGTTTAACGCCGCTTTTAACAGTATTCCAGATATATCACGGGGTGTCAGCTTAATGTGGGAGGAAAGCCCGAAGTAATGCATGTCTCAGACGTTTACCAATTCGGTGAAACCAACGAGCATGGGTTTGGTGCTGACAAACCTAGATACATAATTGGGGCGAACGAGGATTCGAACCCACAATCATAGGTTTCTGTCGTGTCCAAGGGACGCAACTCTGCACAGCGAATCGCAGCGCCTCCGACGACTGGGCCACCCGTGTTCCCATTGATCAGAAGAATGTCAAAATATGATTTTGTATCTTTTCAGTAACGTAACATTTACACCACTTTATATGAAGCAGGGGCATGGGTGTCTCAGTCGTGTAGGGTGCTGCAATTGGTTGTGCAGAGTTGGGTCCCTTGGCACGTCAGAAACCTCTATGACTGTGGGTTCGCCCAAATTATGTTCCTAGGTTTGCTAGCACCATACTCGTGTACGTGGGTTTCAACAAGGTGCCACGCCTAAGACCTGCATCACTTCAGGCTCTCCTCCCACATTAAGATGACAGCCTTCATGTAACTGGAATACTGTCCAACTGGGCGTAAATCCCACTCACTCACTCACTCACTCACCCACCCACTCACTCACATGAAGCAAAGTTACTTTTTCCGATTTAATTCCGGATTTAAATAATGTGACATAGTGAACACATAACAATATATTTAACATTACTACACGAACTGAATTTGCTTTTTAAGGAGGTTGTTTTATACGGATTGTTTAATGAGTCAGTTAACATTAGAATTAAAACTGCTTTAAAATTATTTCAGTTATGTCTCAGTGATTACTTACATGAAGTCAACAATGTATCAATTAAACTGTAAATTACAATAAAGATAAGTGACATGTTTCAAATGATTCATGGTATTGAAGGACTAGAGTAAAGCAGTCATTTCTATAGTATCACTTCATCCTTCACATTTGAGTTTCAGAGGTTAATACAGCACCGTTAATAATTTGACTCATCATACTACCCTCTTCTACAGTTTATGCCTTGTTGGTTGTCCAAACAAACTGATATATTACCATCAAGAACAATTTCAAAGACAGCATACGTGTAGTTTATGTATTTCATCAGTCAGTCAACATCGGAATTGACAAAGTAGGATATAGACAATCAAAGAACTCTGAAATTATATTCAACAGCACTACTCATACAAATAATGTTTAGTTTGTTTGTTTGTGTGTTGTTCATCGCCCAGAAATATTTCAGCTATAAGGCGGCGGTCTGTAAATAATCGAGTCTGAACCAGACAATCCAGGGACTGACATCATTAGAATCGATCTACGCAATTGGCAACTAAATATGCGAGCCTCACCACCCGATCTTGTGAGTCGCCTCTTAATGAGCATAGGTTGCTGAAGATCTATCCTAACCCTGATCTTCACTTGTCCCAGCGAATAATGATAGTACGATCTGAAGGATTCTAGGAGTTAGTTCTATAGGAGGCAACAGTGTAGACATCTACTTACAAAGACAGGAATTCGCCAGTAACACCAATAATCCAAACACGCTGACCGTCTCCATGGCTGTACGCGAATCATTTGTGTTAATATTTCCCTGTCAATTGTGTTTTCCTTGTCGGCCGTCCACAGGACGGGCTCGCGTGTGGAGATGGTCATGAATATGCATGAGGGTGTCTATTTTTAGATACGGACTCCTGTGGCCGGACACAGGCTCGTGAAACTACTACTACAGGCACGAAAGGCCGATTTCCAAAAGAGCAGGCGTGATGTACTGTCGAGAAACTGATACACATAAATCATAGCCACAAAACATTTACATATTCATTAGGTTTCATGCGTCCCTCGTTAGGTCTTCAAAAGGCGCATAAAGCCACATGTACCCCTCGTGATACTACATCCTGATATTGGGCGTAAAAGGAAAATGAGGGATACAAATTATATGTACAGATCACTGAAAATCAGTGATGACACCAGGTGTTCGCGAGTGAAGCTTTCTCCTGGTACTGGGCAATATACTTTCCCTTTTATCCTTGATAGTTAGACTAGGTCCGGAGTAACCTATCTTTTATCCTTGATAGTTAGACTAGGTCCGGAGTAACCTATCTTTTATCCTTGATAGTTAGACTAGGTCCGGAGTAACCTATCTTTTATCCTTCATAGTTAGACTAGGTCCGGAGTAACCCATCTTTTATCCTTGATAGTTAGACTAGGTCCGGAGTATCCCATCTTTTATCCTTGATAGTTAGACTAGGTCCGGAGTACCCCATCTTTTATCCTTGATAGTTAGACTAGGTCCGGAGTAACCTATCTTTTATCCTTGATAGTTAGACTAGGTCCGGAGTAACCCATCTTTTATCCTTGATAGTTAGACGAGGTCCGGAGTAATCTATCTTTTATCCTTGATTGTTAGACTAGGTCCGGAGTAACCTATCTTTTATCCTTGATAGTTAGACTAGGTCCGGAGTAACCTATCTTTTATCCTTGATAGTTAGACTAGGTCCGGAGTAACCCATCTTTTATCCTTGATAGTTAGACTAGGTCCGGAGTAACCCATCTTTTATCCTTGATACTTAGACTACATCCGGAGTAACCTATCTTTTATCCTTGATAGTTAGACTAGGTCCAGAGTAACCTATCTTTTATCCTTGATAGTTAGACTAGGTCCGGAGTACCCCATCTTTTATCCTTGATAGTTAGACTAGGTCCGGAGTAACCTATCTTTTATCCTTGATAGTTAGACTAGGTCCGGAGTAACCCATCTTTTATCCTTGATAGTTAGACGAGGTCCGGAGTAATCTATCTTTTATCCTTGATAGTTAGACTAGGTCCGGAGTAACCTATCTTTTATCCATGATAGTTAGACTAGGTCCGGAGTAACCTATCTTTTATCCTTGATAGTTAGACTAGGTCCGGAGTAACCCATCTTTTATCCTTGATAGTTAGACTAGGTCCGGAGTAACCCATCTTTTATCCTTGATACTTAGACTACATCCGGAGTAACCTATCTTTTATCCTTGATAGTTAGACTAGGTCTAGAGTAACCTATCTTTTATCCTTGATAGTTAGACTAGGTCCGGAGTAACCCATCTTTTATCCTTGATAGTTAGACTAGGTCCGGAGTAACCCATCTTTTATCCTTGATAGTTAGACTAGGTCCGGAGTAACCCATCTTTTATCCTTGATAGTTAGACTAGGTCCGGAGTAACCTATCTTTTATCCTTGATAGTTAGACTAGGTCCGGAGTAACCCATCTTTTATCCTTGATAGTTAGACTAGGTCCGGAGTAACCTATCTTTTATCCTTGATAGTTAGACTAGGTCCGGAGTAACCCATCTTATATCCTTGATAGTTAGACTAGGTCCGGAGTAACCTATCTTTTATCCTTGATAGTTAGACTAGGTCCGGAGTAACCCATCTTTTATCCTTGATAGTTAGACTAGGTCCGGAGTAACCTATCTTTTATCCTTGATAGTTAGACTAGGTCCGGAGTAACCTATCTTTTATCCTTGATAGTTAGACTAGGTCCGGAGTAACCTATCTTTTATCCTTGATAGTTAGACGAGGTCCGGAGTAACCTATCTTTTATCCTTGATAGTAAGACTAGGTCCGGAGTAACCCATCTTTTATCCTTGATAGTTAGACTAGGTCCGGAGTAATCTATCTTTTATCCTTGATAGTTAGACTAGGTCCGGAGTAACCCATCTTTTATCCTTGATAGTTAGACTAGGTCTGGAGTAACCTATCTTTTATCCTTGATATTAGACAAGGTCCGGAGTAACCCATCTTTTATCCTTGATAGTTAGACTAGGTCCGGAGTAACCCATCTTTTATCCTTGATAGTTAGACTAGGTCCGGAGTAACCCATCTTTTATCCTTGATAGTTAGACTAGGTCCGGAGTAACCCATCTTTTATCCTTGATAGTTAGACTAGGTCCCGAGTAACCCATCTTTAATCCTTGATAGTTAGACTAGGTCCGGAGTAATCTATCTTTTATCCTTGATAGTTAGACTAGGTCCGGAGTAACCAATCTTTTATCCTTGATAGTTAGACTAGGTCCCGAGTAACCCATCTTTAATCCTTGATAGTTAGACTAGGTCCGGAGTAACCCATCTTTTATCCTTGATAGTTAGACTAGGTCCGGAGTAACCCATCTTTTATCCTTGATAGTTAGACTAGGTCCGGAGTAACCCATCTTTTATCCTTGATAGTTAGACTAGGTCCGGAGTAACCTATCTTTTATCCTTGATAGTTAGACTAGGTCCGGAGTAACCTATCTTTTATCCTTGATAGTTAGACTAGGTCCGGAGTAACCTATCTTTTATCCTTGATAGTTAGACCAGGTCCGGAGTAATCTATCTTTTATCCTTGATAGTTAGACCAGGTCCGCAGTAACCTATCTTTTATCCTTGATAGTTAGACTAGGTCCGGAGTAACCTATCTTTTATCCTTGATAGTTAGACTAGGTCCGGAGTAACCCATCTTTTATCCTTGATAGTTAGACTAGGTCCGGAGTAACCTATCTTTTATCCTTGATAGTTAGACTAGGTCCGGAGTAACCCATCTTATATCCTTGATAGTTAGACTAGGTCCGGAGTAACCTATCTTTTATCCTTGATAGTTAGACTAGGTCCGGAGTAACCTATCTTTTATCCTTGATAGTTAGACTAGGTCCGGAGTAACCTATCTTTTATCCTTCATAGTTAGACTATGTCCGGAGTAACCTATCTTTTATCCTTGATAGTTAGACTAGTTCCGGAGTAACCTATCTTTTATCCTTGATAGTTAGACGAGGTCCGGAGTAACCTATCTTTTATCCTTGATAGTTAGACTAGGTCCGGAGTAACCCATCTTTTATCCTTGATAGTTAGACTAGATCCGGAGTAACCCATCTTTCATCCTTGATAGTTAGACTAGGTCCGGAGTAACCTATCTTTTATCCTTGATAGTTAGACTAGGTCCGGAGTAACCTATCTTATATCCTTGATAGTTAGACTAGGTACGGAGTAACCTATCTTTTATCCTTCATAGTTAGACTAGGTCCGGAGTAACCCATCTTTTATCCTTGATAGTTAGACTAGGTCCGGAGTAACCTATCTTTTATCCCTGATAGTTAGACTAGGTCCGGAGTAACCTATCTTTTATCCTTGATAGTTAGACTAGGTCCGGAGTAACCTATCTTTTATCCTTGATAGTTAGACGAGGTCCGGAGTAACCTATCTTTTATCCTTGATAGTTAGACTAGGTCCGGAGTAACCCATCTTTTATCCTTGATAGTTAGACTAGGTCCGGAGTAATCTATCTTTTATCCTTGATAGTTAGACTAGGTCCGGAGTAACCTATCTTTTATCCTTGATAGTTAGACTAGGTGCGGAGTAACCAATCTTTTATCCTTGATAGTTAGACAAGGTCCGGAGTAACCCATCTTTTATCCTTGATAGTTAGACTAGGTCCGGAGTAACCTATCTTTTATCCTTGATAGTTAGACTAGGTCCGGAGTAACCTATCTTTTATCCTTGATAGTTAGACTAGGTCCGGAGTAACCCATCTTTTATCCTTGATAGTTAGACTAGGTCCCGAGTAACCCATCTTTTATCCTTGATAGTTAGACTAGGTCCGGAGTAATCTATCTTTTATCCTTGATAGTTAGACTAGGTCCGGAGTAACCCATCTTTTATCCTTGATAGTTAGACGAGGTCCGGAGTAACCCATCTTTTATCCTTGATAGTTAGACTAGGTCCGGAGTAACCCATCTTTTATCCTTGATAGTTAGACTAGGTCCGGAGTAACCCATCTTATATCCTTGATAGTTAGACTAGGTCCGGAGTAACCCTTCTTTTATCCTTGATAGTTAGACTAGGTCCGGAGTAACCCATCTTTTATCCTTGATAGTTAGACTAGGTCCGGAGTAACCTATCTTTTATCCTTGATAGTTAGACTAGGTCCGGAGTAACCCATCTTTTATCCTTGATAGTTAGACGAGGTCCGGAGTAACCCATCTTTTATCCTTGATAGTTAGACCAGGTCCGGAGTAACCTATCTTTTATCCTTGATAGTTAGACTACGTCCGGAGTAACCTATCTTTTATCCTTGATAGTTAGACTAGGTCCGGAGTAACCTATCTTTTATCCTTGATAGTTATACCAGGTCCGGAGTAATCTATCTTTTATCCTTGATAGTTAGACCAGGTCCGGAGTAACCTATCTTTTATCCTTGATAGTTAGACCAGGTCCGGAGTAACCTATCTTTTATCCTTGATAGTTAGACTAGGTCCGGAGTAACCCATCTTATATCCTTGATAGTTAGACTAGGTCCGGAGTAACCTATCTTTTATCCTTGATAGTTAGACTAGGTCCGGAGTAACCCATCTTTTATCCTGGATAGTTAGACTAGGTCCGGAGTAACCTATCTTTTATCCGTGATAGTTAGACTAGGTCCGGAGTAACCTATCTTTTATCCTTGATAGTTAGACTAGTTCCGGAGTAACCTATCTTTTATCCTTGATAGTTAGACGAGGTCCGGAGTAACCTATCTTTTATCCTTGATAGTTAGACTAGGTCCGGAGTAA